TTTGCTCGTGTTCTGCCTTCTGCTAGAAAAACAACAGAATATGGTGCAAGGAACATGAGACCAGGCTGGGGCAAACTACTCTAATGCTCTGAGGCTCTGTAATAGATAGTAATAGATAGTTATTTAACTTCAGGGCTAGGACCAGGGTAGAAGATAATGTAGGTAAGACAATGCTCAATAGGTGGCAGCCATTGCAGCCAACCTCCTCACACGGTTTCCCTTGGGTGAAACTGCTTATGCATCACTTTATATTGATCACTTTACCCACAAATCCTCCCTGTAGGGGATTCCAGGTTGCTGTCCCTGTAAGGTCTTGGTTCATTCTACTTATGTCCACTTTCCCTGATAGACTGATCTCTGGTTCCCGCTGCTCCTAGCACAATGCCTGCTAAGGCTGAAGTCAGTGTTGATTACAAAGTGAGTTGAACTGGGGCCAAGCAGCAAGTCAAGTCAACCTAGAGGAGCAGAGGCTCAGAGACTGGCATCCCAGGGCCTTGAAACTGGTGGCGGCCATCTGGGGCCAGGTCATCCCTTACTGAAGGTCTGAGCCTTCTGTGGGTGAGACCAGCCTGACAGGCAGATGGCAGGGATGAGATGTGGGCAAGGAGATCTGGGGGGAAGGGGTCACAGTGCAGGGGAGCCCCAATAGCACCCGGGGCAGGATACCAACCATGTTGGAGGACCTGGACACTAAGCCAGGCAGTGTCCAGATAGAAAGGAACTTGTTCTCATCTGTAGGGGGAAGTAAGGGGAGTGGGAGTTGGGAGCAGAGAGCAAGGTAACTGACTCCCATCCAAACGTAGCAACCCATCCAGACACAGCATCCTGTGGCAAAGAGCAAAGGTCAGAGAGGCCGTGGGAAGAAAGGTGATTTGTACCACTTGGGTTGTGCAGGGATGTGGTTGCACTGCTGTGGTGTGTCCACCAGAGGGAAGGAGAGACCCACACATGAGGCTCAAATGGCCCTGGCTGCAGAGCTTCTGGGAAGGTCGATGGCCTTGGCTGGGGGCTGGGTGGTCAGGAAGATGCAGAGAGGATCAGGGAGGAAAATCTAGGCTCAAGTCTTCTTATTCTCCCTGAGAATAAGACTTCTTATTCTCCCTGAGACAGATTCTCTGGCTGGACATTTACCAGCCCCTGGGCTATATTGAGTGATGCTGAAGTTGTGGTATGGGTGACTTTGAAAAGGTGACCCCAGGCAGCACCAGTGAGGACCTGGTTCAGACAGCCTTACCTGTCCAGTCTGCTTCTAGCCCGTTGCTCAGAAACAGGCATTATCTGTCTGGGATGTTCTTTGGAGAGGACACCTGGTTTGGGAGAGGTACTCGTAGGGGTAGAGTCCCCTACACACCATACAGCTGCATACCTTCAGGTCTAAGGACCCCAATCTGTGATCCTGTCCCTGTCTGGGGGCTCGTCAAACCCTCTCCATTTCTGGAATCAGTGGAAAGACCTTGCCATCCAGCTGTGGGTGGTAGAGTCCAAGAACTTTGAGCAGAAGTCTGAGGGTCAGGCTCTGTGAGACTCTTTCCTCTTCTGTGAGGCAAAGATTTGAAAACTAGCTTTTACCCAGTGCCATTAGGTATCTAAAATGAGATAATGAGCATAAACACTCTCCTGAGCAGTTACATGAGACAGAGATGTGACATTTTGTCATTGGTCATCCCTTGGGGTCTTACTCATCTCTCTAACCCCATGGGGCTGAGCACTGTTTTGGCACATGGAGGGTGGTCTCTGAGAGCAGATGAGTGTCAGCACCATTGGGTCAGCACTGGCTCCTGCAGGGCAGGACAAGGATAGGTCACAAGGGACAGAGCTGCCCAGGTCTGACCTGCCATGAGACTGTGTATACTCCTAGGGGTGGGTGGCAATGATCCCAGAGTCCTCTTGTAGATAGTCCCCCTTAGGAAGTTTTTTGAGGCAGGTCTGGCCCATCTGCAAGCTGCCATAGCCCCGCTTAGTCCAGAGTGGCAGAGAGGGTCAGGGATGGTGGGACTTAGCCAAATAGGCAAAGACTAGGGCTGGAAATGAGCCCCAGGGCACCCAGGACTGAGAGCAGTAGGGGGCGGAGGGCGCTGGGCTTCATTTTCCTCTCTGCTAGCTCCCCTTTCTCACTGGTGAAAACGTCTGATTGGAGCCCCTGCTTGGGTGCACATTTTATTTCCAGAGAAATAAATTGAAATTGCTCCATAGCTCACCAGGGGTCTTAGATTTCTTAACTTGTCTTTCTTCTTCCTTGAGAGCAGACATGTGTGGGGGCGTTCATAGGCTCCGACAAGTCCCATTTCCTTACTAATAAATATTCCTCCTCTCTTCTCTAAGCATTAGAAAAAAATCCAGAGGAAGAACAAGTTGCCCATTTGTCACCTGCTCCTCGGTCCAGAGCAGGGGATGCATTTTACTATTGCTTGTGGCTGACTCAGAGAAGCAAGGATGAGGGATGTGCTTGCTTCTTTTCAATCAGTTTAATCCTGCTTGGGAGGGCCAGCCCTGCCCTTGACCCTGGGGGAAGGGCAGGAGGGAAGGAGGAAGGCAGTGGCTATGGCAGGAGCTGTGGGAGACCAACCAGAAACAGAGAGGATAGGAGAGAAGGTAGATAGATTGGGGACACTGATCAGGGCATAATCTGTCTCCAGGGGAGAAGAGGAAAAAGACCCCCAAACCAGAGAGGATATGGGGATGTGTTGAGCCCAGAGCCCCTGGCTACCTTTATTTGAGGCCTAGGCTTCTCTTCAGTGATGGCCACACTAGTTACTTATTGAAAGCCACAGGAGTGTGGTGTTAAGCAAGCAGATCATCTGAGCTGCAGCCTTGTAGGGGTTAGCCCAGCGTGTAAGCATCCTAGGGACTGTCTACCGGTTACATGGGTGGGGGTGGGGGGCTCTGAGCTCTAAGGTGTTCTGTTTTCTCAGAACTTTGCTCATCTCTGTTTATGTGCTTTTCAGCCTGTTACAGAGAACACAGATGGTAACCAGACCCAGCGTATCTCAGACCACGCCTGGCAGTGGCCAGATGACCAGTCAGGTCAATCACATCTAGTGGTGGGGAGGCACGTGCTTTTTTTCAGTACAAGATCTTGTGATTGCAGACGTTCTGAGATGTGTAACAGAGGACTAGAAACACTTGTTTAATATTATCTGTCAGAGCCCTGGACAAGGAAGGCAGACCCTGTGCTGTGGGTCACATTCCACACTTGGCTGTGTGACTGTAGGTGAGGGACATCAACTCTCTGGGCCTATACCTTTCTCATCTGCAAAATGGAGGTAACCCATACCTGCCCTGCCATGCCATTTGGAGTTGTCCAGTGTGCTTCAGTGCTCTATCCTGTGAAGGACGGTGTAAATGGAGGGGGCTGTTACTCCTCAGGAGAGGTTGGTGAGCTTCCTTCTTTCTGCTCTTGTCTTCCTCGTTCCTCTTCTGTGCTTTCTGTTCTGTCTCTGGCTGGCTAGAGCTGGCTAGCTCTCCTTGGTGCGGCCATTTCCATGGCCCCAGGGGGAGCTGGCAGTCCTGTGTATCCTCCAGTGTAAGGATGAGTGGAAGGAGAGAGGATGCCTGCCCTTTTTGCCTGTTGGGCCTTTTCCTTGGCACCAGTGTGGAATATCTGGAAGCTGCCAGCAGAGGGCAGTAGCACCTCACGCTTCAACTCCTCCCTTGTGCTTCCTGGCCTCTGCCAGAAGGCCACCAGGGTGAGCTGGTGTGGGTGCGGCAGGCAGGTGGATGTCTTAATGACCTGTCCTGTGTGCAATGGGTTAACTGTGGCACGGCCACCTTGACGACCAGGCCTGGAAACAAGTGCTGATTTCCTTCAGGGAGCCCAGGTGGAGGGAGCCCAGGTGGAGGGAGTGATGTACTGATGATGCTGACTAATGCCGAGGCCCTGCTCAGCATCCACAGAGCTTCCTGCCCAGAGGGAAGGTTCCTCTGATGAACACTGAGGGTGGGGATGGAGCAGGCAGGTAGATCTCACCTGGCCAGGGTCTCTGGGGCACCCTGCTGAGCCAAAGTAGCAAGGGGCAACCACCCTAGCAGGCCTGACCAGGTCTTTTATCCTGGACTCCTGGCCCTTGCACAGACTCTTCCCCTCAGCCTCCATTCCTGGTATGAATCCTGGCCCCCTTCTGATCCACTTCCTGGAAACCCCAGCTACTGCCTGCTGAACTCAGCCATCCCCTACTTCACTGGGTTCCTGGGTGTCACCAAATTGAGACTGAAGGCAGGTGCCAGATTCTGTTCGCAGTGGTTATTCCCCCCCTTGCCCAGCATCTGGGCACATTGCAGGATGATGTTGTAGGATGAGCTTACCTATCAAAAGGCACTTTGCTCAGGGATTCTAGGGACTTAGAGCCCCCTGAGGAAAGAGAGAATACCATGAATCTTGTGCTTCTGTTGTGTTTTGCCCAGAGGGAGTTTTGAGGGCACAGGGGACTTTAAGTAGCAGATGGAATGTCATTGTTCCCTCAGGGTTGTTCTGTCCCTCATCTGAAACAACAGCCAGCCAAGTCCTGAGCCTTGGAAGTCATTCTGGCTTCCCCTGGGTGATGGCATGATCTCTGTTGCAGGCTCCCTCTCCCCAGAAAGCAGGAATTGCCCACAGTGTTGCTCACCCCTGAGAAATAATCTGTGCTGCAGAATATTCTGGGATGAGGATGTCAGGTGTCCTCTCCACTCTTGTGCTTTCCAGTGTCATTCAGTTAGTATTCATCTATTCACTCATTGTTTTATTGGTATGTATGTATGTATATATGTATGTATGCATGTATGTATGTATGTATTTGGCTGGGTATGGTATACTTTATTGATGGTACATGACAAGGTAGGGCTCCCTAAGCCCCTCCCCTTTCTCGGGGTCTGGGATGTAAATTGGAGGTCAGGAGATTCTCAGTGTGTTGGGGGATTAAGTTGGGGCAGGGACTTCCCAGCAGCTGAGGGCCTCTCTCTTCCTCTTGTTCTTGCTGGGGCTGATGGTCCAGGAGGCTCTTACTCCTTGGAGGCCATGTGGACTATGAGGTCCACAGACCAGGAAATGAGCTTGACGAAGTGGTCATTGAAGGCAATGCCAACCCCGGCGTTGAAGAGTGGGTGTCACTGTTGAAGTCACAGGAGACAGCTTGGTTCTCAGTGTAGCCCAGGATGCCCTTGAGGGGGCCCTCCAATGCCTGCTTCACCACCTTCTTGATGTCGTCATATTTGGCAGCTTTCTCCAGGCGGCAGGTCAGATCCACAACTGACACGTTGGGGGTGGGGACATGGAAGGCCATGCCAGTGAGCTTCCCATTCAGCTCAGGGATGACCTTGCCCACAGCCTTGGTGGCGTCAGTGGAAGCAGGGATGATCTTCTGGGCAGCCCCTCGGCCGTCACGCCACAGCTTCCCAGAGGGGCCGTCCATGGTCTTCTGGGTGGCAGTGATGGCATGGATGGTGGTAATGAGGTCCTCCACGATGCTGAAGTGGTCATGGATGACTTTGGCCAGAGGAGGCAAGCAGTTGGTGGTACAGGAGGCATTGCTGACAATCTTTTTTTTTTTTTAAAGATTTTATTTATTTATTTATTCATGACAGAGAGAGAGAGAGAGAGAGAGAGAGAGAGAGAGGCAGAGACCCAGGCAGAGGGAGAAGGAGGCTCCATGCAGGGAGCCCGACGTGGGACTCAATCCCAGGTCTCCAGGATCACACCCCAGGCTGAAGGTGGTGCTAAATTGCTGAGCCACCCAGGCTGCCTAATTGCTGACAATCTTGAGGGAGTTGTCATACTTCTCGTGGTTCATGCCCATCACAAACATGGGGGCATCAGCAGAAGGAACAGAGATGATGACCCTCTTGGCCCCACCCTTCAAGTGAGCCCCAGCCTTCTCCATGGTGGTGAAGACCCCAGTGGACTCCACAACATACTTAGCACCAGCATCACCCCATTTGTTGTTGGTGGGACCTTGCTCCTGGAAGATGGAGATGGGCTTCCTATTGATGACAAGTTTCCCATTCTCAGCCATGATGGTGCCGTGGAATTTGCCGTGGTTGGAATCATACTGGAACATGTACACCATGTAATTGAGGTCAATGAAGGGGTCATTGATGGCGACAATATCCACTTTGCCAGAGTTAAAAGCAGCCCTGGTGACCAGGCACCCAATACTGCCAAATCCGTTCACTCCAACCTTCACCATCATGTCTCAGGGATGCGGCTGGCACTGCACCAGAAGATGTGGCTGTCTGTCGAATGGGGAGGAGCGGAGAGCCGGTTTTTTGGTATTTATTGAACACCTATGATGTACCAGGTACTTTTTTTTTTATATTAGGGAGGGGGATTGACATCCCACTTCAGGCCCCATGAATAGTCTTGCCCCTCTCTCTCCATTGAGAACCCTGTGTGGCTCCAGATGTGGGATAGAGGGGTCAGGAGGATGGAGCCAGAAGACAGAGTAACAGCCCAGGGACAGAGTCAGGGTACATAGCAAGGCAGAACTGGGTGGGAGAAGAGTTGTGGTGGATAAGGGGGGAGAAGACAGATCAGGGTACGAGGCGGGACAGCCTGGGGAAGGAGATGAGATAGATGGGCAGGTCAGACCTGTGGGAGAGGGATGGGGAGACCTGAGAGGGAGAGAGACAGAAACAGGGAGCAGGGCAGCAGGGGCCTCCATGGGGAAGAGGCAGGGAGAGACGCTGGACCAATGTGGGCTGGGGTGGGGGTAGGGGATGCCGAGAGGACCCGATGGTCTCAGAGAATGTCTGTAGCCCAGATTTAGAACTGGAAGCCTTAGAGCAGGAAGTGACGAAGCACGATCTAGACAGAGGCCCCAGCAGCAGCTGTGGAGATGGCCGTGAGTGGTCAACTGCATGTGTGCAAGCGTGCCCATGTGAGGGTGGGTGCGAGCTCTTTTTGACCCAGGAATAAAGTCATTGAGACCAAGGCGCTGCATTCCCAGAGCTCCCCTGACTGGGCAGAGCCTCTGGAAGTAGCGTGAGTGGAGGGTTTATGAGGAGATGAGGTGCCCCCCAACCCCGCTCCTTCCAGTGCTGCCAGGCCCCTCCCCTGGTTGTCCCCAGCCTTTCTCTCCTTGAAATCTTACAACATACTTGTTCTGCGTCCCTTTCCAGGGTGTTCTAGTGGTTGACAGGAGCTTGTTTAATGAGTTCTAGTGTTAAAGACTTAATGATTCTGGAGTGCCTGGGTGGCTCGGTTGAGCATCTGCCTTCAGCTCAGGTCATGATCCTGGGGTCCTGGGATCGAGCCCCATATTAGGCTCCCTGCTCATCAGAGAGTCTACTTGTCCCTCTCCCTCCCTGCTGTTCATGCTCTCTCTCTCTCAAATAAATAAATGAAATATTAAAAAAAAAAAGACTTGATGACTCAACAGATAATACGCTGGGGGTTGCATTTATCCTCTGGAGCCATAAATGACTTAACATAGTAAGTAAAACAGGACCATGGGGCAGCCAGGCAGGGCCAGCAAAGAAGATAATGGGGAAATATGGACTCATGGTGCATCAGATTTTACCATACTGATGGCCAAGCTTTTTGCTTCAAGATCAGCTCCTCCTCATCTATGTGCCAGTGTCCTGTACTGTAGGATCTCCAGGGAAATCTCCAGGAGAATGGGCTCCATTCCTCTCAGATTCCTGATAGCCACACAGATGCCCCTGATGCCTGGTCAGCCCTCCCTTTCTCACCCCAATTGGGGTCAGAGTTGGCACCCCTTGCAGCCCTGGCAACGGTGGACCAGAGCCAGTCTTCTCTTTACTTCATGAAGGTTCCAAGTCTCTCAGCTCTTTCCTCCTCAAGTTCAAAGAAAATCAGAGAACCTTTAACCTTTCTGAAACATCTTGCCTTTTTACCCCTAATTATGTTTGCAATTTGTAGTCTCTAAATCTTTTCCTGTTCTTGCTTCTCAAGTGAAACCTTACATCGGACATGTTAGGAGTTGGGGGACTTTTTTTTTTAATAAATTAATTTTTATTGGTGTTCAGTTTATCAACATACAGAATAACACCCAGTGCTCATCCCGTCAAGTGCCCCCCTCAGTGCCTGTCACCCATTCACCCCCACCCCCCGCCCTCCTCCCCTTTCACCACCCCTAGTTCGTTTCCCAGAGTTAGGAGTCTTCATGTTCTGTCTCCCTTTCTGATATTTCCCACACATTTCTTCTCCCTTCCCTTCTATTCCCTTTCACTATTATTTATATTCCCCAAATGAATGAGAACATACATTGTTTGTCTTTCTCCGATTGGAGTTTGGGGACTTTTAATGGGATGATTGCTTCTTGCTTTCCATATGTGTTTTTTAAAAAATATTACAACATAATAATGTTAAATAAATGTGTTCATTCTTTTTTCCTATGCCGGGGTCTGTTTTTAGGGTTTCTATTATGTATCTTTTTTAAAAAAGATTTTATTTATTTATTTGAAAGAGTGTGTGCACATGAGCAAGGGGGAGGAGCAGAGGGAGAGGAAGGAACAGACTCCCTGCTGAGGGAGCTGGACACAGGACTCGATCCAAGACCCTGGGTTCATGACTTGAGCTGAAGGCAGACACTTAACTGATTGAGCCACCTAGCCCTTCTCTTACGTATCTTAATTTAATGTTCTTAAGTCTATGAGGAAGGCATTATTATTTCAATTCACATCCCCAAATTAGACTTAGAGAAGGTAAGTAACTTCTCTAAAATCACACAGCTGGTTAATGTAAGACTGAGGCAGGGGTTGGAAGGGTGCTACAGGACTTTAAGCTGACTTCTATAAATATGGAAATTTTGTTAAGTCTAATTTTTTTTTTTTTAAAGTATGTCTAGTTCTCCAGGATCATGCCCTGGGCTGAAGGCGGTGCTAAACCACTGAGCCACCAGGCTGCCCCATTTGTTTTAATATAAGAGTAATGCCTTTTATTTCTTTGAACCCCAGGACAGAAGTGCCATGTCATATCTGTGCTGTGACTTTGGGTCCCCCAAACACCCCAGTGGGAAAATTTCTGTGCTCAGTCATGAGATCTGTCTTCTAGCATCCCCACATAGCTGTATGGCTTTGGAGGCATCTTTTCATTTCCTGGAGCACCAGTTCCTCACTTTCTAGGATGGGGATGACTTCTTTCTTAGAGTTGTTATGAAGATAATGTGAAATTATAGACAAAAAAAGAGTCTGTGAGGTGCAAAAGCATCTTTGGTTAACATTTACATTTTGACATCCAGAGGCCATTTGAACCACATTGAGTTTCTGATTGACTCTAGTCCCAGATTTGTTTCACTACATTTTGACACATTCATTTTACTTAGAGTATCTATCTAGCTCAATCTCAATTTCCCAGGGTTTTTTTTTTTTTAGATTTTATTTATTCATAGAGACAGAGAGAGGCAGAGACACAGGCAGAGGGAGAAGCAGGCTCCACAGAGGAAGCCCGACATGGGACTCGATCCAGGGTCTCCAGGATCACACCCCAGGCCACAGGCGGTGCTAAACCGCTGTGCCACCAGGGCTGCCCAATTTCCCAGGGTTTAATTGAAGTCTGTTTCTCCCTGACTTGATTTCTCTGCATGATTAATAGAATTTCTCTTCAAGTGAGGGGGGAAATATGGTGGCAGCAGGGCAAGGGGGTGTCCCTGCCTATGAGAGCAGACATACCTGTAGCAGCCTCTGAAGTTGGAGCTTTCATGGAACATTCACCCTACCTAAGCATCAGCATCTTTCAAGTACCAAAATGAAGGTATGATGTAGGGATGCTGCTCATAGAAATGAGGGCTATTTCCAAATTGAGCAACAGTCAGTGCATATTTATTGCAGTGCTTGCCCTAAGCCAGGCACTGTTCTAGGGCTTTGGAGATATCAGTGAGCCTAGAAAGAGAGAAGTGATCTCCTAAAAGGAGAGAATGAGGGGCATCAGGAATGTTGGGATTGTGGTGTGTGCCAGCAGTAAAGGGGGGCTCAGGATAATAAGCCTTGCTGAGAAGTGATTTGCACAGACTGCTTTAGGTCTCCATTTGGAGTCGGTCAGATGGACGTCTGAGGGAGGGTTGGCCTGGCAGAAGGACCAGATAAAGTAAAGGCATTATTATTATTTTTAAAGATTTTATTTATTTATTCATGAGAGATAGAGAGGGAGAGGGAAAGAAAGAGGGAGAGGGAAAGAGAGAGAGACACACAGAGAGGCAGAGAGGCAGAGACACAGGCAGAGGGAGAAGCAGGCTCCATGCAAGTAGCCCAATGTGGAACTTGATCCCGAATCCCGGGATCATGCCCTGAGCCAAAGGCAGGCACTCAAACGCTGAGCCACCCAGGCATCCTGAGTAAAGGCATTAAAATGAGATTATGCCTGGCATGTCTGAGGAATCAAAGCAGCCGGTGTGGCTGAAGTACACATGAGGAAAGAATAGCAGAAGAAAAGGTCAAAGAGGAGGGGAAGGCAAGATCTAACTAGAGCCTTCTAGGCTTCTCCTCTAAGTGAAATGGGGGCCTTTCCAGGGCTTTAGGTAGAGAAATGATACAGTGTGACAGCCTTCCAGTTTATCCATTCCCCAAATTCCACACAAGTTCCTTGGCTGAGGTGTGCAGGTTCTGTGAGCCAGGGGTGGGAGTTGGTTCTATTAGAATTACCTAGCCAGAGAGTAAAGAGAGGTGGCTCCTGAGGGGAAAGTCAGTTGAGCATGTAACTATGCCACTAGAAGGGAGAATGGATCCTTGGAAGACAGAAATATTGACTGTCTACCCCCATCCTCAATTAGCTGGTGGTGGAAATAGGACCTGGGCATAAATAACATTCCTATAAAAGACTCTTGGAGTTCAAAGAAGGATGAGACTAATACACTTTCTGAGGATTCAAGGTTTAATTATGGAAGATGACATTTAATCTGAGACTTAGATAATAGAGTTTGGGCAGGTAAAACGAGACTAGGGGTACCCTGCATGCTAAAATATGGTCTGGGGTGGAAAAACAGAGCAGCAAGCAATTAAAAATAGAGCAACACATGATGGTAACTGGTTCTACTCTGCTGGATTGTAGGATATATGAGGAGAAAGGTGAGAAAGTTGAGATTGGTTCATAAGATCCTCAGATACCATTTTGGTTGTTATGAGGAAAGAAGTATAGCAAAGTTATTCTATGTTTAAAGGATCAGGACATAAACTTTTTAGAGTTCTATCAAAATGTCACCTGGTAAGGAGGGAGAGGTTAAGAAGACTA